TTATGCTATGTGGGAAGCACTCTTTGCAGTGGGAGGTGAAGAAAAGATAATGAGAAGTCATAGACAGATGGATGAGTTGGTGAAGGTGTTCCGATAGAAACATGATCTTCAACTATATAAATACTGATATCTAATATTTCTCGACACCAACGAATAATCTACCAATTCAAAATAGACAACGATAATTTGTCTTCATTCAAAGTTGTAGACACCAAAGTGACCCTGAACGGTTTCATTTATTCGTATAATATGTTGATTTGTCAGAGTTAAGATTTTTACTTATGCCTTTGTCGTCTGATTGCTCACAGAATGCACGAACACAACAGTGAGAAATGTTAATTTATGTTATATTCACGTTCATCTGTAGACATAATTATTAATCAAATGTTAACTAGGCTAATGAAGTCCTCTCTGTTTGAGTAAACTCATTACACACTATTGGTTGATTAGTAACTCTTCTATTCACCTGTTCACCATTCAATACCACTTAAGTCCATGTAAAGATTTCCAGTAAGCTGTCGTGAAGCAGCAGCAAAAGCTTCTAATTCGCTTCCTGAAGCTTTCCTATCAATATTTCGTAACTATTATCTCATTTGCCTCCTTATATAACCACTATTTTCCCCTTATCCATCTCTATTGAACCACGCTTTCGTCATATTTGGTCATTGTGTCACTAATAAATGTCTGTTTTCCCCACCCTTATTCAACCACCCTTCCACCTTCTCTGTCACCTTCATCTTTCCCTGAAGTTATACACGCTCCTGATGCAGTCACATGAATATCTTAGAATCCATTTCCAACACTCATACATATCAAATACAATAAAAGCGTGAATAAGTTTATATTTTAATAAATTCGTATACTTTAGTCGAAGTGAGCATGAAATGTTTTCACTGTTATGATATTTCTGATTGCTTTCAAACTGTTCCGAATGGTGGGAGATGTATAAATTTTCTGATCTTTCGAATGAAATGCAACAGATATCACTATTTTGTTTTGACACAAACTAGTGTCATGCATCTATTTCTTTGTTTAGTGTAGACTGAATTCTCTCAGTCAAGTTTGCAGTATGACCGTCATTCTAGGTGACTGGCCATCATGGTGCACTCAAAAATGTTGTTATTAGATGGTTGGAGGAAATTGGCACAAAGCCGTGCACGTAGGTTTCGTGTTTGCTGGCACTCACCAGTCAGCAAGGCATATCTGCCACCTAGGATGGTAGGCACATTGTAGACTTGACTGATAGAACTCAGTCTACACCAAACAGCAGACTGTACACATGACAGTAGTTAGTGTCCAGTCAAAGTATCGGAGACGGTCCTACAGAAAGTCATTCGCGAACCCAAATTGCTCATTGATAACAACAGTTCTGAGAAATCACTATTCTATGCCGAATATAATCCATAACAATGTCTGACCAGGAATCAAGCTACTGACTACTGACTTAAGATTTGTGTTTAAAATCTGAAAATTCTTCTTTTTGCTGACTGCATCGAAGTTCTAAACCGATTTCGGAGTTTTCATCATGAGCTGACATTGGTTAGGGAACTAGTTAAAAACCTGGGAGTGTTGCACTGCTGTTTCGCCCTAGTTTGGGACTCTTCGGCAGTACGCACCCACCGGGCTCGTAGACCATTAAGCCACTGGGACCCGATCCAATGACTGATGAATTCTAACCAATATCAGCTCATGATGAAATCCTGTAACCAATCAAATCCCTACAAATCAACATTTGAACATCGATTTCAGAGTGGTGAAGGTCTGTCTGGCCTTTCCGACGCCTCAAATGTAGCGCACCCTTAATTAGTTGTTTAACTAACCATTTCTAAATCAAAACTATAAGTCTAACTCTATCGATAGTGCCGACTCATCAAAGCTTAACATATAAAACCATCCGAATAGCAAATGTTCCTTTCAGCAGTGAACTCAGCATACCTGAATTTAAAAATTACACTAATCCTCATTCGGTCTATAAGCTTTCTACGATGACATTAATAGCTGTCATGTCCTTTACAGGCACAGACGAGGAGGTGTCATTAGTCATCCGTGGCAAAGCTACACTGTGGGGCATAGGTGTGAATGAGACCAATGTGATCACTGTAGCATGGTTAGTACCGTTTGTAAATCCCACGTTGCACTTCCGGTGCTATCAGCTTCACACTACTTAACAAAATGATTTGAGTAGAATTAGGTGGAAATAAACCAAGTGTATATAGGGATTTCTGGAGACGACAAGACAGCTGAGTGAAAATGTCGCTTGTGGCAGAAAATGACAAAGTAGCTCAATGCTGAGTCTATGCGAGAATATGAGTATTCAACAACATCAATTCAGGTTCAGATGAAAGAGGATGAACAGATCAATGGAGCTCCACTGTTAGCTAGTCGAATAACAAATTTCATAAATTTCCTACATTGATTACCTTTTATAAATTTGAACAAAGAAATAAGAAACATTGGCGCAGAATAATCTAAATCCATTTAATTTGGCCGGTTCTCATCAGCGGCGTACAACCTAAATTCTTTAATGAATTAAAAAGTGTACAATTTTAACAAACTTTTGTCCATTAGCAAGAATACTGTCAAAGCGACATAGTGAAATAAGGCATTGCTATTTACAAGATGTCTAAAGTGTTAGAACATATATATATATATCCTCTTAGCGAGGAGTTTCTTGAAAATTTTAATCAACTTTTGTGTTGTTGGGGTGATAACAAGAGGGAATTAGATGAGAAACTGATGATGTAATACAGTGAGCAGAACTCAGAAGATCAAGAAAAATGATCTCTCAAAAGTTAAGCGAAAAATAAATCGGGGGGGAGAGAGAAAAAATAAGATAACAAAACAAAGAGTTACTAAGAAGTCTGTCACCAGGGTAGTTGAATTCCAAAAATGGATTCTTTTTGGACAAATAAGTCAGGCTTCAGCGAACCGAGACGACTTGAGGTGCCTTGTCTGTTAATTATTTTGAATGATTCCAGCACATTTACTCGTTGTCCCATGCCAATCAGGTGATTGTCGATTAAAGAGCCTAAACAATTCAATCCTTTCAACCAGAGGCTCCTTGGATACATGTTCGCAGAATCTGATGCAGGCCTTCCTCTCTGTTCTTCCAGTGTAACTGCTCCTGCAGATACATGTGAATTGGTACACACAGGTGGATGTAACATATGAGGGATATGTCAGTCTTTGACTTCACCAGTGAGGAGCTTGTTCGGCGAAGAAAGACTAATAATGCTACAGGATACTTCCTAGACAGGGCTGCACTTAATCTTTCATTAACCATTTCCATAATGTCATCGCACTTATAGTCAAGTTTGATGAAAATAGGCCTCTTACTGGCTGTAGCTGTATGAAGCTTCTCGAGTTCATTCTTGCCATATTTGTTAATGATACTTTGTGGGTAACCATTTGCTTTCAAGCATTTTTCAAGGAGCGTAAGTTCACTATCTAGTTTGCTTGGTGAATATATTCTCCTCGCTCTAGAGAAAAGCGTTCTCACCAGCGTTCGTTTGTATCTTCCTGGGCAGAAGCTGTTGAAATTCAAGTAAAGGCCACTCCGTGTGTCTTTACGATATACAGATTTTTCGAGTGTATTGTCGTATTTTCTCTATAACTTTACATACAAAAATTGGAATTTTTCATCATATTCATGCTCTATCGTGACGGAGATGCTTTTCTGTATATTGCTAAAAGAGTCTAATAGAGACGAAGCGTGACTCAAATCATTGCATACAATGAATGTGTCATCAACGTATCCGTAGTAGGCTGTTGTTTTGCCGATTGCACACTTGAGCTTTGTCTGTTCCAGACTGGCCATAATAATATCAGCTAATATCGTACCCAGTGGACTACCCATTCCCACTCCATCAGCCTGGCGATACATTTTGTCGTCAAACTGGAATTGTATATCATTAGTACATAAAACGAGAAGCTGCTCAAATTCCAGTTCTGGTAGAGGAAGAAGATCAGAGTGTTGACAGGTGATGCCTGATATCTCATGCAGGGGGATCTGCTTGAATAGAGAAGTCACATCGTGGGAAACCATGATTTTGTCATGTACACTCAACAAATTGGAACGAGTCTTTTGGAGTATGTTTAGCTAGACGTTGTCTGAGAGGTTCTAACCTATTGGGTGGGCAATTCTATTTATGTATCTTCGGTAGACCATACATATGTGGTAGACGAAACCCTGTAAGTTTTAAGTCATTGTACTCATGATTTTCAATCCTTTTCTTTTTCAATAGCTCTTTGAGTACTTTCGTGACTCTCTTTTCTGCCGAATCCATCATATCCTCTTTTCAGTTAGCAATCTTAAATTTCGACGTGTCATTCAGAATGGACTCCATTTTTCGGACATATTATTTATTCAACAAGTTAACCGTTAGTGAAGGTAGAAAAGGGTTGGCTTTTTCAAGAAACTTCTCTCTAACAAGATATATATATATGTCTCGTAACACTTTTGACGCCTTGTAAATCAAAATGCCTTATTTCACTATGGCGCTTTGACAATATGCTTGCTAATGGACAAAAGTTTGGTAAAATTGTATACTTTTTATTTTGTTCAAGAATTTATGTTGTACGCAGCTGAAGAGAACAGACGAAATAAAAGGGATCCAGATTATTCTGCGCCAATGTTTCTCTCTCATTTTTCGAATATCATAAGGATCAACTGTGATTTTTGGTACTGGTATGACTTTCTTCAACCTCTCGTATATTTTATCAGTCACTATTTTTGAATGTTAACCGCTGGGTTGAGGGTGATTTTCTGAGCCTTACATCTATTCATCAACGAATGACACAGCTGGTCATAAACTGAGTGATACGCCTTCGTATATGCTACACAGGCGAGACTCATACAAGAAATGATGCAGTTAGACATCCAGTTTATGACAGACCGATTTTTGAGCAGTCTGACTAAAACATTTGGTATGACTTTATTTTTCTTGCTTTATTTACTACAACAAAGTATTTTCTCTCACCTCTGTGACATACATATGCAGGCCCAGAGGTGCAGCTGTAGCTGAAAGACTCTGGTCGAAAAACCCTGAGACAATTGAAGAATTCTCACAACGAATCGGTGAGCTTCGATGCAGAATGCTCTAGTGAGTCCTTGTATTTTTATATTCATGTGTAATTGATTGAAGTAGATGGAAGTAAATAGACATTTCATGCATATTTGGAAGTTATGCTGTGATTTGTTTTTGCCATGGCCTTTTTTCAAAAATACTCATCTTTAATTTGATCCACTTCTTTCACTGTTGAGTCGCATTTTTCATCGTATCTTGACTCCGCGGCAAAGTATGTGATGTCCGTTTTGTTTCCAACAAAGAATCTTATCTTACTTGATTTTTGTCGCATGTAATATTAGCACAAGCACGGAAATGAGAAGATTTAACCAGCCGCGGTTATTTGAATGTAGCATGGTTAAGTCGAATTCATAATTCAAAGATTTGTTTGATGAGTTCATCGGAAAGCGACGTCCACTAAAAGACTCTACCGCCTGTGATGTATTAAAAATCTCAGAGCTCTTAAATGCACATGATGAATGTTAGTAAGGTGCTAGTGAAGGCTGTAATTTAACCCAAACGATTAATTTGCAGGTTCTGTGTCTGAAATTGTCAGCAAATCACCTAACTGGATAAATAATAATTTGATGACAAAACACGTGGTTCAGCAAAGAGGCTCTTTTCGGTGAAATCATTCTACAGGTTAGCTGTAAAACCGCATTTATATACATTTCTTCTCATTGGACTGTAGCAACGGAAGTGATGAGCTGTCACAAAAGTAGTTGTCGATATTTGTCAATGCGTATGAGGAGTTGAATAAACGTATAGGATTTACGTAATAAGATACGTAATCTAGTTAGGATGCACATAGAAGAGAAGGAAAATGCCGGGTTACGTAAGAGTTCCGAGGGCATACGAGAGTTATAAATGGTTAGAAAATCAAACAAACTAAAATCAAGTGAGTAGAAATCAACACGGTTGTTGCCATAATAGTACGTATGATTGAATAATTTCTTTTGGTATATATAGCACCAGCCTCCCTAAGTGAATGGCTAAGGCTGCAGCAAGGAGAAAACGGCGTTTTGCCTTCGATAGGTTGTTCTTCACTTCGTAAATTACATTGAAGGAGGCATTTGTTGAGATGCAACGGTCGGTGCTCGATAGATATTGGAATTTCGTTCTCCTTAAGGAAGAACTACTACATTCCTGCAACCATATGCGGGATAGTTCTCTTCAACCTTTTCAGGCAGGATATGCGTCAAACAGCCAATGTATGTGGCTCAAAAGAGCAGATGAACTGATGTATGCACACAGAACACAACAATTTAACGAAGAGCATTTAAATGTTTATACGCATTATCTATGTCTACCAATACTAGTTATTCGATGCGTGAAAAAACAAAGCTGATTGTAAATTTCTTTGTAATTGTTTTACGATTTATTTTAGTAACAACATAGAAGCTCATCCAGTCAACGGTCCAGGTTTCTGCCCAACTAAAATTATAAGAACATGAACAAACTGGAGACAGTGAATGAAGATTGCTGCTTGCCTTTTTGTGCATCGGAATTTTATTGATTTCCATTTTATTAAAATGAAATTTCTAAATATTTTCAATATCCACTGAATTACACTTTTCTGAAAGAAGTAACTTTTGTCTGTCTGAGTGAGTGCAGGCTGTGCGAGTTTGCGTTTTACATTAAAATGAACCTTAGCTCAGCACACTGTTTGTTAGTCGGCGTTGTATGAACGATTATCAATGGTCAATGTATTCCATTTCTAACTCACAGCTTCACTGTCATAACTTCACTTGGTTTCCCATCATCACTTCTAGTTGGTTCAACCCCTGACAAAAAGCTTTTATTTTCCCCTCCTTTGTTCTTATCCGCGTAATCATTGGATGCCTAAATGGTCAACCGTCGTCTAACTACTACAAGAGAGCAATGGCCTCAGACGCCAATTAGAGCCATCTTCAGCTCATACTCATGCCACTTATATTTCCTTCCGAATGTTCGTCGAGCGTCATGCTGTTGGCTGGTTTGCTGTAACAGTTACTTCATACTTATTCTTTCTGACGGGCCATCTGATCTTAGGTGTAGAACGGAGGCAGTTGTTGATGAAAATCTCCATAGTGCTGGAAATGCTTTTTCTGGAACATGCTTCAAGTCCCTGAACTATATGTCAGCACTGGCTCAACGTTTGTGTTAGGAATTCGAATGTTCTTCTAATTATGCGTGGTACCGATACTTACGCCGATCTGAGTGATGAATTTCTCTTTCGCCTCCCCGACTCGCTCCTTTGTGGCCTCATCCATGCCATCCATAGACGAAATGATGCTCATTGAGTAAGATAATTGAAAGAGGAATGTCTCTTTAGATTGCTGTAGCTGATGCTGATTAGCTTTTTGGCCAGGTGTCTTCACCACCACCTTATTTTCAACGACAATCACTTAAACGTCGTGTATTGGCCCAGGCACATGATTGATGCAGTCTTCGTTTGTTGACTTAATTTCATGTTATCCATATTTCTTAAACAAACGTGTTAACATAAGCAGCTTTAGATTATTTAGATTCACTCGGTGTAAATGTTTGACGGAGAATGACAGTCAATCTCGATAAATTAGTTGCTTTGAGACAGCTGGAATTCAACTAACTGAAAACAGATTGCCTGAAAAAACAGTTTGGAAATTAAAGCCATGAGATTTTTGCCTCACTGAAATGAACCATCGCTCAGTGAAATGTGGACAGGTATTCGTCTACAGTACAATTGCGTGGCATTATTTCATATTGGTTTGGGTGCGTGTGATCTCTATATTGAGTGTCTTCAAACTATGAAACTTGTTAGTACTGATAGGGGAGAATCCTGAATATGACTTTGTCCGTTTGTGCAGAAAGCACTTTCTGAACATGAGTGTGTGTGTGTGTGGCTGTTATGAAGCTAATTTGTATTACATACTTCGGCTCTGATATAACAGGAGATATTTCGAGTGCCACATACGTGTGAGTACACATCAACCTGTTATTGCACGATTTAGTTTCATATGACACATATAGAATGCTAATATGTTGGTGTGACATAATCCCTTACAACAGTTGTTTTGGGATTTCCCTATAGCATGATTTTGTGTAAACTAATTGGTTCATGTGAACTAGAATGTAGTTTCTCACAATGTCTATTGCCATTTCAAAGGCTAAGAATAAATTCTTCATCTTCTTCAACACACTCAAGCGTCATAAAATTCACGAAGAATTTTAGTGAGACCAAGTAATCACTCGGATTAACACATTAACCTCGAGTTGTAATTTTTACGCCGATTGCAGTACAATTTCAAAGTCATGTAATACATCGCAAAACTTCGTGTATTTCTCTAGAAATTTGAATATCTTTTCTGTTTACAGTGTCCGTAAGATTTTTCCCACAACTAATACGTAAAGATACTTTTGTATTTCCTACACGACAAGAGCACTGAAGTTACTGAAGAACGAATTCGATGTTCTTGAATTTATCTAAATGTAGCCCCAAGGCGGTAGTCATATTTTACTGAGGTGCTACTGAACTCCAATAATGCTCAAAACTTATTTTAAGGATTATCGCAAATTTACATAACCCTTTCAAGATTGCTTACAAACCGGTTCCGCCGTTATTGTGCTAACTCACTGACAGTGGCGCTGAGATATGCAACACATCAGTGAAGGAAACCAACTGGATGACGTTGTCATTATTAGCCTCATCTAAGTGTTTGTACATTAAATACACCACCGTAGACTTCGTTGATTCCTTGTAGTAATAATATAAGTCTTCAAAAAGACGACCATTATTGAGTAAAAATACGTGTGAAGGGAAATTTTTTTGAATAAAAACGCAGTCATCTCATTAACTGTTAACCATTCTAACACGTATCATTACAATCTGACAAAACACTTTTCATAACAAATAGCCAGTCAAAACTTTTTATTTAACACGAGAATATAAGTACGAGTTCAATGATTAAGGTGTAATTTATTAAGTGATTAAACTGAAACTATACAAATTAGAATACAAAGTGCGTCTTGGTATCATTCCCCCCTGTCTGTCTCTCATTGTTGTTTGTCTCAATGTACACTCATATTTCAGTAGAAAAACAACTAATACGACTATTTGTTTTCGAGATGAAACACATTTTTTCAGCCTATTTAACATTTGTACATGAATTGTCACTTCAATAAATAATAAAGTAAGATAGATTAATAACTAATACCACATGTTTTTTCGTTATATTTTTCACAAAACTATCGTTTCAAAATAAGCTGTTTCGATTGATTTAGCTTAAATCGCAATGTGGCCCCGAATCCACAGAAACCAAGTGGATTCATCGGATTGATAGACTAGAGAATTCGGATATTTCGGTCTCAAATTCTGAATAAATACACTGAATACGCATTGACGACTTCATTATTTTCATCGTGGTCCTCTTTTATTTTACTCACAAGTTTCAGTATGATTTCAAAAAAAACCCATTTCTCATTGCTATGCGGTGAGTTATGTAGATGAATGCCTCACGAGAGCTTTTGAACTAGGAGGATTCTAGGGAATGGTGAGGGCTTACACTGACGACTTTGAAATTGAATAGATCGAACACTCGCGAAAGTGTTTACTGCTGGTTACCTTCACTGAAGTGATATTAAAACATTCTTCAAGAGATGATACATGCTAGTTTGCTAGGAATAACGCATCAATGTGGCTTTAACTCAACACGAATTTTCTAACTCGGAATTCCGGTGACAACTCATATGAGAGGATGTTCTTGGACACAAATATGAAGAGATCATGAACCAACAGATGAGACCAGCATATCAGCTTAAAGTGAGTTATCGGGAGATAGAAGTTCAACCAAGTGTAGAGATTGACTAACCCCAGGAGAATAATTAATTCTGAGGAAATCTTGTTAATCAATGCGCACTCACTAACGCATAGCCATACACATTAGGGTGAGCCAGTGCAACATTTTAAAATGGATCATTTTCAGGTGATCTATTACATCCAGTACATGCAATGTGAATGACATGGTGGCAGTATCCGATATATGGAAAAGTCTTACTTCCAGGGTAATCCGAAGCCTGGGAAGGATGGAAAGCCTTTATCTTATAATGAGCACTGAAATGTGATGAGAACGTCATCAGTAAATAATAATGCATCACTGTGTATTTCATGAAATCAAATTACCTGATTATGAAGTTATAAGTCTACCACAGCGCGAAAATTCTTTCCTTGTTGAAGTCACCTCGTTCATCTTACATAATCGTCTTTACTGTTCACCCTTATTCTTTCCTGGATTGCTTAAAAACGACTATGTCATACTTTGTAGAACTTTGAAGACTGTCAGTCAGTTTTGTCACACTGTGAGCAACCACTTTACCTGCAGGTTTCACCTTGTTTCTCCCCAGGTAAAACAAGAAGTCTTTTCAGAAGACTTTATGCATGTACGTCTAAATATAAAAATTCCACTATACCATATTTGGCGGCACGTGTTTTATGTCATGAAAATAGTGTTAGGCATGAACTAACCAACCTTCTTTGCACTACTAAATTAACCTTTTCCTCCACCCTTACAACATCAACAATTATTGTTATTATACTTCTGATATTTACAATCCTCTCAATTTTTTGTTTTTATTTGTTTACTTTTTCACAAGTGTGAACATCATTTAAGCTGTGTTATAACTGTTACTTTTTGTCTTTCCCCTCATCATGCTTAATCAAGAGAACATTAGAATCAATAATCTATAACATGCTGAAATTTTCAAACTAAACTGACAATACTGTTTGAAACAAACTCACTGCTTTATTATTATGTCTATTATTCTCATTTTTAGTTCGAATATGTTTGACTTCATACCGTCATTATAGACAAATTCCTCTGGTTAATGTTGTTAATAATTTTATTTATATTTTAAGGAAATCAATGCAACATTGTGACAAATGCTGATAATTCCATTAGGTATTGTACTGTTTTTGGAATAAAGTAGATTATTGTTATTTCGAAAATACGTCTGCAGAGTATCTCACATATAACTCACTGACAACAAAATAAATGTTTTACGCATAGAGCTCGTAGAATGGATTACAGATGCCTACCGTCTATCACGGTACGTAAACACCACTCATTATCAATTGACTCTTCATTCACCCGAAGCCTTGTCAAAACACTTCTTCAAATAATAATATGCACTAAAACGTTTCACTGAAATCATTACAGCAAGAAGTAAGGTATAAATGCATGCATTTTCGAAAAGACTTCTCTGTGGATGATCAGTCTGCATGAGTAAGTGACTAATTGCGTTCAACCTTGTTATGCAGGCGAAGCACCTAAATTCCAGATTGGAACAAATGACTTACAACACTATACAGGTCGTAAAATCGAGACGGAAGTTACATGGGAATCTGCAACCTCCTCATCTTCGTGTGACTAGAAACCTTAACGCTTGGCCCTCTGACGTGACAAACTCGTTGGAAAAATGTTCTGGAGCAGGAGATATCGGATACCAGTGTCTCCAACAGCAGATATCATTTTGGAGTATACTGTTCTTCATTTGAAATCTGGGGCATAAACACACTCTTCGCTAGAAGTACTGTTTATGTACCGAAATTTGGGCCGCCACACGCCTCACTTTCAGACTTGGATTGATCCCATAGTTTTAATGTGAATCGGAAATGGAAGACACACATGTGTGAAGCATCCATGATGAGTTCCAAGTGAACAGGAGTATGAAGGGCAGCACAGGGAGAAGTTTTAGTGGTTGACTAAACATTGAGATCAGATATTCGACCTCAAATATAAGAAGAAGTGTATGGAGTAGATTACAGAAAGCAAGATTCTGTACAACATGTTCATGACGAGATATCTTATGCTACGTAGGAAGCACTCCTTGCAGTGAAAGTTGAAGGGAAGATAATGAGAAGTCATGGACAGATGAATGATTTGGTGAAGTTCTTCCGACAGAAACACGATCTTCAATTATATGAATACTGAGATCTAATATTTCTCGACACCAACGAGTGATCTACCGATTCACTGTAAACAACACTTGTTTGTCTTCATTCAATGTTGCAGACACCAAAGTGATACTGGACGGCTTCATTTATTCGTTTAATCTTTTTATTTGTCAGATTTAAGACTTTTACTTATGCCTTCGTAGTCTGATGGATCACAGAAGGCTGGAACACAACAGTGAAAAATGCTAATTTATGTTATATTTACGTTCATCTG